GATTCGACTTTGTAACCAGGTCTTCATTGTTGCACACAGACGCTACGGTATCCAAACTGGTGACCTCGTTTCAGTGTTAAGAACAGAAATCGCGGCGAGAAAACATCAAGCTGAGGCGATTCCTTTGGTGCTGGTTGCGGAGTAACAACTTTAGGCACTACAGCCCTTCACTACTAGAACATTCATGCCGTGAGAAGCTCTTCCAAGTGCCTTTACATCATTGTAAGGACGCTCAGTGGCAAGGTGGGAAAAATGCCATCCCTCAGCTCAGAAAATTATGCTCTCGTAGGAAACTTGGTTATCACCGCATACTGGTGATATAGAAGAGAATATAGAAGGTATGTGTTCGTTCATGAGACATGTGGGATAAAGAGGTGGGACCTGCAGTGTTAATAGGTGACCATTTCGCAGGTATGTGAGATACCGAATCTGTACTGACAGGGTTCCCGGACACCATATGATACCACTTCACGGTTGGATGCACCGAGTGGCTGGCAAGGGGTCTATCGAAACTCAGTCGAGATGTGTTTTAGGGAGTATTCGCGGTGACGACCATGGGGTGTGACCAATTCATCATAAAGGGGGGAGGTTAGTACCTCAACTCTCAGCCTTGGGTCAAACGGTGCAGCTTCAATCCAGGCCCTCGACCGAATCTTACCCTTCATCTTCGGGAAGAACGGTCTGTATGAAAGTATTGGTGATAATAGCTGTTGGGGGCCGAGGGTAAAGTCATTCACACTGAACTATCTTCTGGTTGGTGATCGTCTGCCGGATAAGCAACGCGGCAGCGTTGAAACTATCGAAATGCTAAGTGACACTGGATCTGCGTAGTGAGGTGCATTGGGTGCACCTGAGACGTCAGGTGTATTTTTTCGAAATATGGAGAGATCATTGGTTGGTCGAACTTTTTCTAAATAACTTTGTGCATATGTGGTCCTTGCTTACCGCTTTTCCCATTGACGACATGTAAGCATATACTGCAGAAATTATAAATGTTTCCTCCGTTCTACATTGCAGGATGACCGTCTTACTACAACAAGATCCAGAAAGGAGAATATTGAGGGAGTGACTGATGAACACTTACGCATAGGGCACTCTAAATGTGTTGAATACTTTGTACCTAAATACATATTTTCACACGAACTGAAATGCGTTTTCTCCCGTTAATAATTATGAGTAATGCTGGAACTATAGGAAGTAAATATTGTTAGAGTCCTTTGTTAAGTGCGCGCCCACGCAGACTAGTGTGGACGAAGCACTTGTTGCGATAGTCTGGATGTAACCGAAAATGTTTGAAACGTGTGAACTCGTAAACTTCTCCCTTACGGATTTCGGGATTACCGATAATGATTCAACAATCCGAAGCTATGGAGTGATTGGAAGCTTTCCAATTTTTCACGCATGGATGTCAACTTGCCTACGCACCAATACCATGGTTTTTGGAAACAATTTAAATGTGCCCGTAGTACCCCGAGTCTACTCCGAAAGCAACCACTAAGAAATGCAGCTTGTATTACGAGGTAAAGGAATGTGCTAATTTACATGATAAAAAATTTCCGTGCTAACAGACACATAAACGGCAATCCAGTAGGCAGGTTCAGCGTCGATGACCTGTAGGAGAAGACAGTAAGTGAACATGTTAGATGGGGCATGGAAAGTATTCATGAAATCCAATTTCAAAAGTGAAAACAGACTTACACCACTTTCCTTTTTATCATTCAGTGTTTGTACAGTGAAGTTTACGCTTACAATTAAGTTTTCCATCCAAGTGTAAGGTGTAAGTGAGTTGGACTTACCTGTCTGTAAGGGCTCTCGCCCATGCCTATAACGGCGGATGGCGTAAACGTCACCATTAAAAAGTGGGCAGGTTTTAAGGATTGAAATAGGCAAATAGCCTACGGTTCATCGTTGAGCTGTTGTCCGTCGGCTGCGTCCACGCCCTCATCTGCTAGACTTATGCAGCGCTTCATTAGGTTTATGGCCTGTACGTAACCATATTCACTCCTGAATTGAGATATTCGCCTGTTAAGTCTGAGCTTCATAAGGCGATATTCAGCAACCTCTGATGAAATGCTTTCGATCTCGGCGTCAGGAATTGTAGTTCGTGGCTCGAATCCATCGTTGACAATTTTGCAACACGCGAGCGACTATATTCCGTAAAGCACCATGCGTCAACTTACCAGTAAATTCTCGGAATTGCAGGTGAGCTATCAGCATGTGCCGACAGGGGAGCAGGCAGGTCTTATAACAGTTACAGGAACACATCCCCTGGTGTACATCAACTTCCTGTAACCGTCTACAAAGAAAGCCCAATTGGATAACTTGTTTTCAATGTAAACTGCTGCCGGTCGCTTAAAGTCCTTCATAACCTTTCTTGCTGCGCATGGACTCAGTTTGTCAAGGATCGGTTGGAGCCTTTTAGGTCCAGCAGACCCTTGATTTCCAGAACCTAGCAGTCTCGTTTCCAATTTCTTCCTTTCGCTTCTTCTAGTATCCCACTGATACGCCTTCCACATTGCTATATGCAGCTTGTCACACTTTCTCGGCCTCCTTTTTATCCGCTTATGGGGGCTTTCAACTAGATTATCAGTATTATTACCCAATGTCAGGACATCGTTGTAGAATGCTGGGGACCAAAGTCGTTTACAATTCATCCACATGCGACCTAAATACCTCCCCATATCCAGACTGATAGCGTTGATAATGCGGTTATATGCACAAAACCTGCTTTGGACGTCAGTGTACTATTTGCATCTTACCTGCTGGTTGACTCCCCTCGAACTAATCTGCACAGATATTGTTTGAGTATTGGATTTCTTGCCTTTAAGTTAGGTGCATATAAACACTTATACGAAATGCTTACCCTTTTGCATATCGCTCTGCAAACGTGGAATGCACAAAGGACAAGATCAACTTTGGGGAGGACGGTCTCGACAGCCGCCTTCAATGCCCTAGAGCAATCAATAACAAATGTTCGTGTGGACGAAGTTTCCCTCATTATACGCCTAAAGGCATCCAATATCCATGCTACATCTGTCCCTTGTTCTCGTTTAGTCCACCCAAACATAATTGGGCGGCTGTTGCTGTAGTTGTCAGTGACAACAAATTGAAACAATTTATAGTTGTACTTCATGTTAATGCTATCAAGATAGACTTACTTGTCCTTGTTCGTATTATAGGTTGAATCGAAGCATACAACCTCAGGAAATTGGAGGCAGGCGGCTATTTGATCGGTACTGCTGAAGCAGACTCGACCAACCTGGTGATGCTCGCCAACACTTTAGGTTACCAGCTGACCACTGCTTCTTAATTCAGCGAATACTGCTGCCTGACTTTCATAGCCTGCAGAATAAAAACTATTGAGGAAACATGTTGCTTAGTGTTATTTTCCTCTGGATATTCTTCACGTAGTCATAAGTTATGTCCTCTGACGTAACGTCTTTTACATACTTAACAACACGATCCGGTTCAGACCCAACTGTCAGAATGGGTAGAACAACCTTCGTTTCCTCCTCAGATAATCGTCTGGACCAAGAGTCTTTCGCAAGATAAGTCACATCACATGGATGGTTGTGCACCATCTTGAAACTCGGAAAAATAAAGTGATTCAAATCGTAACGCATTCTAATTCCAGATTTACAACCAATGTACTTCGATCTAAAACGCTACTGCTAACAAGTTCTTATACTACCCCTTAACTCGCTGTTTGGTGTCTTCCGACTTTTACCAAAAGTACATGCAAACACGACATAGTGGTGCTTTACTTCAGCATCTCCTTTATATCGATTGCATTCCCTCGCAGCGTAGTGAGTATTCGTCACCTAAACATCGAGTTAAGTGACGTTTTACCATATTTTCTGAAGTGTAATTATCGCTTCTTCGACTTGACTGCAGACAGTAAAATGTCTAGGTCGTATAATCTGCTCAAACACCTTAGAAACATCAACACACGTCGCGCCAGCCAGACTAGCGCTGGTTGTAGAAGTTTGATGAGAATCCATGAAGCTATGAAAACGAATAAGTAAAGCATTCTTCTTAGAGGACCTTCAGCTGAAGTGCCAATAAACAACAACTGAACGTCTTAACATTTGCACAAACTTCTTAAACAACCAGATAAAGGCTGCAAACGTTGAAGTAATTCGGGGATCAGAGGCACCACAGGCAGCATCACGGCTTTTTTAACGGTTAGCCAACTTCTAACACAACAAGAACAACATAACGCGGATAAATCTACATTAACCCATTGTCATAACAAGAAGAAATAGAATTCAGCAAACAAGTATGCGAAAAACACTTTTTATAACTGACCTGCATCCCAAACATTGCAAATAATAAAAATAGTTAACGAAACGGGCAACCAAAGAAGGCTGTATCATAAACGGGGCATAACTGAGCAAAATTCATAACATAGGAACGGCAACAGCGTCTATGACTTTATTAAATCAACTAAAACTCGTAATCGTGAAACCAATCGTCCAACATGGCCTACTAAGATGGCGGGAAATGACCTTACAGCGGTCACGAGACAGCATTCTGATTGGTTTCCAAGTTGTAAGGCGCTTCCTCAATTTCCCCTGTAGGATACCCGCAGTCTTTTCTACACGTGATCCTTGATTATATCTTTTTGTCGATTTCTTGTTGTGCTTGGCCCATGATTACTCTCTCTCTCTCCCCATATACATATATATATAAAGAGAGAGAGAGAGAGTAATATAACGATATATTCTGTCTGGATTATTTAAGGCTACATTGTTATATACAGACAGTGTATTCCCATGCTTTAAGACTGCATACCTTACCGTCAGCCACACATCTCACCTATAACCTATTATGAGAATGGGACGGTTGAAAGCAAAGCTATCAAAGATAGCTCTAGCGGTAAGAATAGGAGAGTTGGTTCCACTTATATTTCAGGTCGTGACCGAAACTGTGTCTCATTATATGATACAGATCCCAGCGAACTTACATGCCTTACACTGCTCGTCAGGGCTGAAGACATTATGTCAGTCATGAATAATAAAATCAAGGAAGATAGAGAAGAAATTGACAGTATTAAGTCCATAATAGATGGGATCAAGAAAGTAGTTGAGGGCTTCCAACCTTTGGCATATCTTTTTGGGAAAGACAAGAACCTAGTCCCAAGCCATATTGAAAAAGTTGAAACGCTAATAGATTACTTGGCAACTGAGGTAATGAAGGGACTGGTATCTTCTCAACAGGCAACAGTATATGGTGTTCCAAGTACCATATCTTTAAATGTCGCCAAGAAAAGGGTATTAAACTCATGTGGCATGACGCCTATGCACTGTGACTGTAAACACCTCCGCAAGAAAGCAGCACATCTAGATGGCCCCATTCTTTTCAAGTTCACAACCTCATATGATGCTAAGAGGTTCATTAACTATCAGGATCATATATGACTAAACAATAATTTGTAAACTATTACAATCGTACAGGACAAAACTCCTTGTCAGCGCAGAAAACAAATGAGAAAATGTCCTACCATTTCGACACATGCAAACTATGAAGGTACTGGATGCACTGAGAAACAGTCGAATAGTGCTGCTATGGTTAGTAAATTTATTGCGCCAGCCACTCTGGTAGTAAAGCAATTTCAGATGGACTTGGACATAAGTAATCCGGATTCTTTAATTTCTTATAAAACCCCAACTATCAGCACTTGCCTCCCTAAGGTAACCGTGGATAAAAACCCTTTAGCTGGTAGTAACGTCACTAGACACAGACCTGCAGGTAAAACCATGTACTTTAGACCTACAAAGCTCCCGAAGAAAGCCATTTTAAACGCATTCTATCTAACGATGGCGAAGAAAACTTCGTAGCTAACATAGTTGTCATAGACAAGACCACAATTGCATATATGGGAAGTAAGGCAGCCCGAAAAGAAAACCCACCGAAACGGCATGTTACACACTTAACCTCAACCGTTAGAAAGAGACACTTCAGTAACTTGAAGGCATCTGCCATTAGACAGTACTCTAGATCACGTTTGCCCAGCCATCTGGGCTCCAACAGGATGGCATGTGGCATACCAAATACATTCACGTTATACAGGTCACATACACCCTACTCAAACATACATCGGCACCCGGATGACCCTAGCCAGTACTTTGGAAATGTAAACAATTAATAATAATAATTAATGTATATAATAACATCCTTACTTTTGAGCCTTATCAAAATTTTCTGGGACCCCGAATAATATGTGCGACCCATGGTTCATAGGATCGTTTCACCCTGCAGAAGCACGAGCCTGGAGCTACCATCCTCGGTTTGCACCGATCATGAGCTGCACTGTACGTCGCCAGTAAGAATGAACAGCGCATCAAATACGTATACGCACCCTCAAAAGGCAAGTGATCACAAATCACTGTACAATAAAACTTCGCTGGTCACATCGTCATTCACCACCACTGAGTCTCATGCCCTTAACGCAAGTAGCACATCGTCTAATGAATTAAGTATAAGAAACTTCCCTCACCAACTAGATGTACAAGATATTGTAAAACACCTCACAAGTCATAGTAACCTTTCCACACTTCTGCTCATCAATGCACGGTCGTTGCCGAAGAAAATTTGTGACCTGAGAACGATAGTCTTGCTAACTAAACCTGAAGTGATACTAGTCACTGAATCGTGGTACCCCAACTGTCCTTGATGTAGGCTTGTGTATAGATGGTTATACCCCTTGTTGCACTAACCGGGATCATAAGCGTGGGAGAGGTTGTTTGATTTATATACGTAGCCTTGCCACAGCTAATAAGATTGAAGACGGTACATTAAATGCTCTGCCTGATTCAATATGGGTTGTTATAAACGGTACTAACTATAAAATCCTCGTAGGCTGTTTATAGAACACCATGTTCATCAAGGGAAGCTGATGAGCTCATTGCTCAGTCATTTCCCCATACTGCATCCATTAACGTTGACTTCAAACTGCCCGAAGTTAACTGGGAAACCAGTTGTGGCCCACAACGCTATGATGAAATACTTGCTTAGATTTCTGAGGATGGAAACATTATGTCCATTCACCCACACGTGCAAGCAGTACGCTGGATCTAGTCTTTTGCAGTGACATCGTCCCGGTTACCACGTAGGCTGGTGGTGAATTCGCTAATAGTGACCACAGAATGGTTTTCTGTCGCCTACCAATCATCCCTCTTCGTGAGAAAAACAAGGAACCTATGCGAAATACCTTGTATCGTAGCTGCAGAAGTACAGACTGGGAGGTATTCATCGAGCTCCTCAGGTGCAGCCCATGGGATGAGTACTTCATGACAGCCTCATTAAGAGTGACTTTCGTTTTTCCGTAGAAATATAATGCTATGTCTAGATATCGTTGCTCCTATGAGAGCGGTTAAGATGAAGAAGAATGAGGACCAATACATCCCTCGAATACTTCGGAACAAATTACGAAAATTATCTAAGCTATATCATCCCTTTAGAGACTTTCTGGTGCTGCACCCAACCTACGATACTTATCAAGCAATTAGGACTTTACGTGCACAAGACTCAATAAGCGAAGAGCTGAATGCCCTCAAAAGTGGTTCTAGGATACATAGTCTAACCTCCCTTTTGAATAAACGTTCGCAGGCATCGAGAGATATAGCTTGTTTATTACACAACGGAATAGTCTGTAACGATCCCCTCGAAATTTGTGAACTATTTAGCGGATCCTTCGCAAAACTCAGTCCTAGCACACTTAACCCCACCACTTTTACACTACTCACTACAGGTTCATGCGCCAATGTGAATTTTACTGTTAAAAGTATTACAGGGGCTACCGTGAACTTGCGACTGTCAACAGGCATGGGAATACACAACATAAACTCTATTGTCATCAGGGAAAGCGGTGACAATATGTCTCTGTTCCTGCTTGAGATATTCACCCTATCAATGGAAAGTGATGTATACCCCACTGAATGGAAAACTAGCTACATAACGCCTCGCTACAAGTCCGGGGACAAATTGAACGCCAATAATTACAGACCCATCAACATAACACCAGTCCTCCCTAGAATTATGGAAAAAGTAATTAAGAATAGCGTCTCTGATAATCTATTAACAAAAACCCTAATCACAAAGTCTCAGCATGGTTTCATAAAGAATAGGTTCTGCGTTACCTGCCACTTTGATTTCTCCAACTTCAGCACTAGTAACCGTGAGGCACGTAAAATCTTCATTGTTCTATACTTTGATATATCAAAGGCATCTCATAAGGTGTCTCGTAATATACGCTTTAGTGAGCTACAATCAATTGGTATTTGCGACCCCTTACTTAGTTGGATAAAATCATTTCTTAGTGATCGTGCTCAAATCGTGAAAGTAAACTCCGTGCAGTCTGAACCTAAACATATAACTAGCGGAGTTATACAGGGTAGTGTCCTTGGGCCTTTGTTGTTCATAATTTATATCAACAGTGTGTATAACTGCTTCAGTGAAGGCAAAACATTCCTATTCGCCAGTGACTTAAAGGTTGTGTACACTTGTCACTCTAATGAACTACGTAATACTCTGGATACTGCCCGACAGGAACTAAGTAAATTTGCATCATGGTGTGCTGAATCCCACCCTGAAATCAATAATGACAAATGCGTTTGGCTTACTATAGGCAACGACAACCACGACCTGACCCCCGAGAGATGCGGAAAGCAGCTACCTAGACTAGCTTCTGTGCTAGATCTTGGCATCAGGTATTCCAGAGACTTGACATTCTCAGAACAAACAGCATATATCAGATCCAAGTCACGTGAACTCTTGGGATGCATCATTCATAACATCTATAGCACTGAATCACGGGTTCTACTCTATAAAGTGCATTCGCCCACTTTTAGAATATTGCCCGTTTATTCTCAGTGGCCTTCATAGAAGCGACAAACTGAAAGTTGAAGGGATACAACGTTACTTCACCTTTGGAACATTAGGAACTGACTCTAATCTAGATGTGACATGTTGGGGCTAGAACCACTCTGGAAGAGGAGACTTAAACTGAACCTCATATTTTATTATAAGTTACTTCATCAGTACTTGCACTCTCAAGGTCGGCAAATCAAGCTAACTGTAACGTCTACATACGATATGCGCAACCACAGAGTGTTGGTTGGAACTCAGTCTTGTACGATGAGCTTGCGAGGTAATTTCTTCCTCAATAAATTCTCACACATTTGGAATAGGCTTCCAGAAGAAACTCGTACGGCAAGCTCGTTGACACTTTTCCGCTCTTCACTTGATAGGCTACTAATAAACGGTGAGTCTATTGCTCAATTAGTCACCACCTATGCATCCTGGGCTAGTGAGGGTAAACTTGGACCTCTAAATGCATGAAACAGAGCTATTATAGCCCTCGAGTTCCTCCTACACTTATGGGTTGACGATTGCTTACAAGGGTGTGAGTACTGGTTCCCCTCTTCACTATAGTGAACTTAATGTACTCTGGTTCCCTCAAAGCTACTACAACACACCCCAGATATAGAAAAGTTTTAAGAATCTTACAACAGAAAAACTATGTGGTTAATTATACATGCATACATGAAAATGTACATAAAGTTCGGATAGGTCTAAAAGTATAGGAACTTCTGTCTTTTCCAAGCCGGTCTGCGTGGTAATTCCCTTTCCCACATCTGCTCGTGCTTCTTCTTTCTTTTCTTATTTTGCAGCAACAGCTCGATGAGGACATTTGATGCTGAATTTTAATCTGGACATATCTACTAAGTGGAAATAATACCTGCTGTTTGACTCCATGAATTACTGGACTGCTCCCAATCTTTGGCGGTTTCTGGAACGTCTTCACAATCAACTCATCAGCTGGTCGGGATTCTTTTTGCGACGAACCGTCTAAAGTTTCCCAACAGCCATAGTGGCACGAATATTCTGAACAAGTAATCGAACGAGAAACCAGTATACCTATTGGTCATGATTTATGCATGCGCTGACATGAGAACCTGATTAGGGGAATTCGACCTCATACAAGAAATCTGATTAGTTCACTTATGGCTTCACTTTCTGAGAGTTTTGCAAATACATATATGTCATGTATTTGCCTAATAAAAATTTATCGCTCTTTTAGCAGTCACAGGCCGTTTTTGTCTTCTGATTTTTCCGCGGCTCAGTGAAGCAGAAGGTACTGAGGGAGGTCGGTCGTAAAGGTATTCGGTTTAGGTGTCTGTTGAGCCTCAGTATTCATTATACCCTTGCGCGCAACCCCACCACTGGGTCACAACACTTAATGATACTCCAGATCGTATAAATAGGATATCCATTTCCCATAAGTTATTTGGTCAGTAATTTGATGTTTCATCCATCGTATGTGGTGTACTGATACAATAAATCTTATTAAACAGGCATTTTATTAGATCTCGCTTGTATGAGATTGGACAAAACTGTGAAAATTCAGGTATTATCC